TGGCCCGGTAGCCCAGCAACTCAGCCTGCTTCTGAGCCTCAGCCAATGCCAGCATATTAGAGCCGATGATCACATTGAGGACATGACCACAGGTGTGTGGCCCACGGGGGTCAGAGTCAGCCCGAGAGAGCACAGTCTTCACAGAACGAGGCAGGGCAGCACGAAGGCCATAGCGATTGAGGATGTGCAGGCAATCTTGCACATTGTGGGCGCTGGCCACAGTGGGGCCACTGGCAATGACCTCCACAGGGTCCCCCACCACATCTGACAGGATCAGACTCACCACCTGTGGAAGGGCCACGGGGCAAGGGTCAATCCCACCTTCTTCTCATCCCGGAGAGCATAAGAACAAACTTCCCCTTAGGTATCCATCATCTGGTACACTTCCTTGATCACATCTAACCATTCTCAGGCAGGCTCACAGAACACCTGGCCATGGGAACTCCCTCTAGCCCTCTGGGGCCCCTCCCAGGCCTTCCCCCAGCCTGAACCTGTAAACTCTCATACCAGGTCCTTGCCTGTATGCTGGTCTAGGCTTTCATGTCTCAGACACATGTAGGCAGTAGCCCAGAGCTGCCTAAGGAAGAAGCAACTCACGTACCTGGGCAGGATAGGCAGCCTGAGCCAGCCCTCCACCCTTCAGTTGTGACAAGGCCTTCCGCATGGTATTCAGCTCCTGAATGGTGGCTCCATGGGCTGCCAGCAGCTTAGTGAGCATCTGCTTCTCCTCCAGTGTGATAGGTGGGATGGGGGCAGGCAGCAGAGCAGAGCCTCCACCTGCAGAGACACAGCCTCAGGCACAGGAGACATCCCAACCCAGGGAACCAGGCAAGCAGTGGTGGACAAGGCCACATGAGGGAAGTGGTCTGGGAAGGTGGAATCAGACTGCCCCATGAGGACAATTACCACACCCTGGCTACCAGATGTTGTCCCCTGCCATTCCCTAAGAACTTGGAACAGAGGTAAACAGCAGAAGACCAAGGATAGAGTTGGAGACCTAGGTTCGAGCCCTGGTTGACACTGATGCAGACAGCAACAACAGATCGAAAAGCTCTGCTGATATACCAGGTCCTGTGTTAGGTTCCCCCTCTGTACCCAATTATCATCACCCAACAATGTGAGTTGGTGGTAGGGAGGATCTTGCAGCTCAGGGAAGGACAGATAATTGGCCCAAGGCCAATCAGGAGGCTCCAGGTTCCTCACTGCCTCGTTTGCTCCCAACTCCACACACTCCTCCCTTGCTCCCAACTCCTAGATCATCCCCCTTGGCTGGGAGTTAATCAGATCAGTCTCTCAAAGACCTGGTATTTGGAGCACCCTCTAGCCTGTTGTCCTGAGCTAACCTGAAATGAGCACAAGCAACAGGTCATCAGCTGTAAGTCCTTCAGCCAGCTGCTGGATGGCTAGTGCGGCCCGCAGTGCATCATGATCCGGTAAGTTGTTCTCTGCACCCTCAAATACTTGGACACGGCTGTGTGGTTTCAGCAACATCTCCCTGAAGAGGAATCAAACAGAAAGTAAGAGATGCAGAGGGCTCCTCTCCTCTTATCTGATTTCTCAGCTGCATAGGTGAAGGGGCATGAACAAGGATGACCACCGACACCCATCCTGGAGCCAGACCAGACATAGGAAGAAAGGGAAGCTGGTGAGGAAGGGAAGTCTGAACCCATGTATTCCTTTCCTCCAGATGGACAAAGGGGAACAGCCCTCCATGCCTCCTTACTGCTTGCCGGCACATTCCATGGCAGCACGGATCCCCTTGGGAACGCTGATCACACCCTGCACAAGATGCTGGCCCAGTAGCTCCTCAGCTGCTGCTGCCATGCCCAGTACAGCCTTGCCAAAGCCCACTAGGTAGAGGTTTTGCCGCAGCTGAAAGCTCCGGTCCCGAACCTTCAGTGTTCTGCCATCAGGGTCCAAAGACAGTGCCTTTTGCAACATGGGACCTGGCTGCACGGCACCCACAGCACTCTCAAACAACTGTTGTGCATGCTCTGCCAATGCCACACCACTGGCCAGCCGGGCCATTGGAGCCCCCCAGATGAGTTGACGAAAGGGGGCTCGAACCAGACAGGGCAGGACCTGAAGGGCTGCAGCCATGCCCCACTGCTCTCAGCACCACCTTGCATCCATGGCTGCCTGGGGGAAGAAAGCATATTGTGAGGCTAGAGATGGGAGGCCCCCCACAGCCACCCCTCTGAGGGCTTAGGGCCAGTGGGCCCCATAGCAGCTGCTGCAAGAATGAGCCTCTCATAGCTCAAGGGGACTTCCTTAATCCCACAGCTACCTGACCTCAGTCTCCTCCTTGGATCCCAGCCCACCACCCAGCCAAGTCCTCCTCTTCTGTAGACCATACACCAGGCTTCCGGACACTCTGTCCCAAGTCCAGAGTTCCTGTTGACTGGGCCCTTCTCCTAGATCATCCCCCTTGGCTGGGGTTAATCATTCACAGAAGGAGCAATTCCTACCAGAGGGTTTCCACTCCCCCTTTTCCACCTCCAGCATTTCTAAGCCCTGGTCCAGGGGGAAACACCCACTTCTGGCACTCCAGCCTTGCTTCTTTACCATTTCTGCTGCCAGGAGGCTGTTGGTCACATCAACTGACCCTGAGCCCACTGACCTCCAGCCTGCTCTCTTTCATTAGCTCATGGGACTGGGCTGGGAAGCTTGGGAATGCAGGTCTGTGTGGGGAGGCTACATGTTCGTCAGTGCACTGATAGGCCAGGTCCAGAGTACATCCTCAAGGCACACAAGCTGAGGAATCCCAGCACTCAGGTAAGTCCAGCAAAGAAGACCAGGTACAAATCAGAAGTAAAGGCTAGCTCTCAGTGATACTTAAGGAAGTCCCCAGGCACTGCTTGAGGCCATGTACTATGGAACCCGATCTGCAAGAGAAGAAAAGATGCCCTTCTACCCACAAAGCTGGACAGACCCATCCCTGCCAAAAACACCCATTCTGGCTCTGACAGCAAAACAAGTCCTGAGTCACACCACTTGTAGCGGTGAAAGCCCAGTGGCTGAAGCAGGAAAAAGTCAGGTTCCTATCACTGAGCCCAAATATTCATTTTCCCCACTGGGCCCAGAAAGGCTTGAGGTGAAGGTCAGGGAGCAAAAGTGGGGTTTTAGGACAATAAAACACCAAAGGACTCATCTATAAAAAGACATCAATTTTTTTCATTTTTTTATTTTTTGGTGCTGGAGATTGAACTCAGGGCCTCTCACATGCTAAATATGTACTCTATCACTGAGCTACACTCCAATCCCTAAAAAATCATCTACTTTAATAAATAACTACCATTAGGGCTGCAAGCTGATTATATCAGCAAGTGTGGAGGAGGGGAGTCAGCATTCCAGCTCTACCAACAGGTTTTCTGGGTAGCTGATGCACCTCCATTTCTCCCACTGGGACTCATTTGAAAAATGAGTTGAGGTGAGATTAAAATTAACATTTGGGCTGAGCACAGTGGTACACACTACTAATCTAGCAGCAGGAGGATGGCAAGTTCAAAGCCAACCTCAGCAACTGAGTAAGATCCTATCTCAAAAAACAGGGGTTGTAGTTGTAATTGTGGCTCAGTGGTAGAGCACCTGCCTAGCATGTGAAAGGCACTGGGTTTGATCCTCAGCACCACATAAAAAAGTAAATGAATAAAATAAAGATATAAAAAAATGTTGAGAGGCCTGGGTTGTAGCTCAGTGGAGTGCTGGCCTAATGTGTGAGGCACTGGGTTCGATCCTCACCACCACATAAAAATAAATAAATAAACAAAATAAAGGTAGTGTGTACATCTACAACTAAAAAAGATTTATTTTAAAATGTTTAAAAAATAAAATAAAAGGCTGGGGATGGACCTAAGCAGTTAAGCACCCCTGGGGTTCAATTCCCCTTTTTAAAAAAAAGGAGGGGGGGAGCTTTGGGTTGTGGCTCCCCTAGCACATGGGAGGCCCTGGGTTCGATCCTCAGCACCACATAAAAAATAAAGAAAGAGAAAGTATTGGGCCATCTACAACTGAATATATATATATATATATTTTTTTTTTTTTTTTTTAAAGATTAAAGATTATTGTCGGGTAGAGGAGAGGTAGCGGGCTCGGTGTGGCCCAGTGATAGACAGCACCTGCCTAACAAGTGGGAAAGTCTTGAGTTTGATGCCAAGTGGTCTTGAAAAGTGCCTAACGCTCACCCCTCAACACCCTCAGGCTTTCTGAAGCCATTCAATGTTTTAACACAGAGAACACAAAACACAAGTTTATTCCATACCCAAACAATGTGGCAATTTCCATACCTTTGTTACTTACAGTTACCTAGTTCTCAGCTTTTCCATAAATTAAGATTAACCCTGCTCCACTCCTGTGATGAAAGGGAACACAAAGAGCACCTCCACAAGGACTCGGAAAAACGACCGGATTCGCCAGGGGGATCCCTGGGGCTTGCCCATCATGCTTTCATAGCCTGAGTGAACCATATAACTATTTTCCATGCGGACAAAGGCCGAAATGACTTCAATCTTGCTACTAAATACCAGAATCCAGGGCAGGTGAACGCTCAAGGCTAAATTTGCCAGATAAAATACAGGACGTCCCGTTAAATTTGAATTTCAGATAATATTGTAGAAAAGTGTCCCACATAGTATTTGGAATATTCTTATACTAAAAGTTATTAGTAATTTATCTGAGATTCAATTTCACTGGACATCCTGCATCTTTACTTGTCAAATCCTCCAATTCTACTCAGGATAACAGCATCGTAATCCCAGGAAGTTCTAGTAAAAAATACAAAAAAAAAAAAAAAAACAGAACGATCAGCGTTGACTCCTCCCCGGCACCAGGTGGGACTGCCAATTCCGGTTTTCGCTGCCCGCATTTGACTCGGAAGTGACGTCATCCCGAAGTCGCGGTCCGGAGCCTTCACAAGGGAAATACCTACTGTGTATGCCAGGTAGTGACGCGAAGAATAAGGGCCAGCTACTGTAGACCTGCCCTCAACTACACTCGGGATTGCCTCGGAAGGTCATGTATGCTCCGGCCGCAAGGACTTACCATTCCACAGCTACGGGCCCAGCTTCCAGCGCTGGCGACCGGAAGTACTCGCGGGTGGGCAGAACGGAGTCCGGAAGTGGGAATGAGGGACGTGTATTTGGTAAGGTTCTGACTCTGCTCGGACCGGATGCCCTGAAAAGGTGCTTACGGGACACACCAAGTCTTCGTCTCTGCCTTGAGTTCTCAATGGATTTCAGTTAAACGTCCCCTTTTTTTACCTTGTAGGATGTAACCAGTCATTAAATATATTCTAAACTCTTGTTAGGAGCCAGGTATGGAGCTGGGCAAATGGACAGAATCGCTACTTTCCCCCAACCCACCCCTTGGAGCCCCGCGCCCCCCCCCCATGGCTATGATCCCACAACTCGTTGGCGTTTCCCCTGTGTAAAATGACGACTCTGCTTTCAAGGAAATAAGAAAAAAAAAAAAAACAGTTTATCCTGAGTCAAATATGAATGACCATGGCCTGGGAACAGGGATTCAAATTACATTAAATTGGCATATGCCCCTGTGAAAGAGGTAGTGTGAGCTACTGAGGATGGAGTACAGAGCCTCCCGAGTGGTAGACAGGCACACTAACACTGAGCTTAATCCCTGGGCTTTTTTTTTTTAATTTGTTATATATGACAGCAGAATGCATTATAATTCATATTACACATATAGAACACAATTTTTCCTATCTCTGGTTGTACACAGAGTCACACCATTCTTGTCTTCATGTACTTTATACATGTACATTAAAGCATTTTTGTCTTCATACATACATGTACATGTACAGGGTAGTGATGTCCATATCATTCCACCTTCTTTCCTACCCCCATTCCCCCTCCCTTCCCCTCCCTCCCCTTTGCCCTCTATAGAGTTCATCTAATCCTCCCATGCCCCCCACCCCAACCCCATTATGAATCAGCATTCTTAGCGAAAATTCGGCATTTGGTGGGTTTTTTTAAAATTGGCTAACTTCACTTAGCATTATATTCTCCAATTCCATCCATTTACCTGCAAATGCCATGATTTTATTCTCTTTTAATGCTGAATAATATTCCATTGTGTATAAATACCACATTTTCTTTATCCATTCATCTACTGAAGGGCATCTAGGTTGGTTCCACAGTTTAGTTATTGTGAATTGTGCTGCTATAAACATTACTGTGGCTGTGTCCCTGTAGTATTCTGTTTTTAAGTCCTTTGGGTATAGACAGAGGAGTGGGATAGCTGGGTCAAATGGTGGTTCCATTCCCAGTTTTCCAAGGATTCTCCATATTGCTTTTTATATTGGCTGCACTAATTTGCAGTCCCACCAGCAATGTATGAATGTGCCTTTTTCCCCACATCCTCACCAACACTTTTCGTTTTTGTATTCTTGATAGCTGCCATTCTGACTGGGGTGAGATGAAATCTTAGAGCAGTTTTGATTTGCATTTCTCTAATTGCTTTTTTTTTTTTTTTTTTTTGAGGGGGTTATTTAACCACTTGGCAACACCCCCACCCCTTTGTATTTTTGAGAGAGCATCTCACTAAGTTGCTTAAGTTCTCCCTAATTTGCCCAACTCAGCCTCCAACTTTCTGTCCTCCTGCCCTGCCTCCTGAGTACTTTATGGGTGTGCACCACCACTACCAGCTCAGATTTTATCTTCTAGCATTCTTAGCTTTAAGGTTGGTGGAAGCTAGAAATAATATATTCCAAAAAGTTTATTAGTTACAAGGGTATTAGGTCAGATAGAAAGTTATAGTAAATGGCTAGTAAAGAATTTAAAATAGCCCAAGATAATTTTGACTCTTGATGTACAACATTTCATCTCTCCACAATCACTATGTCCTACTCAGCCAAGATCAAGTAGTCTGAAGGATTTATTTTCTTTTTCTTTTTTTTCCGGTACCAGGGATTGAACTCAGGGGCACTGGGCCGCTGAGTGACATCCCCAGCCTATTTTGTATTTTATTTAGAGACAGGGTTTCACAGAGTTGCTCAGCCTCCCAAGCTGCTGGGTTTATAGGCATGCACCATCATACCTGGCTGAAGGATCTTTAATATAGATGCAACTTCTCCAGAAAACTTCAGTTCACACCCCATAACCTCCATGGACCACCAAATACAAGTTTGGCTCAGCAAGAGATTGATGTTCCTTGATCTAATCCTCAAACAAACACACTGTGTGTATCACAAATGACCCTGGATCCTCCTCATTGCCCCTGCTCTTTCTCACCTGCCTTGAGCCTGGCTATCTGACTTCTCCCCACATTTGTTAAGTCAAGTCTTGACCATACTGCAAAAACACAAAAAAGAACACACTTTTTTACTAATGAAGATGAGGGAAGGAGTTGCATAACAAATTGCATGGCATATTTCCTTAAAATATTGAAACCTATTTATCTTTACCTGCTAAGCTTTGGCCATTGCTACATCTCTCCATAGTATAGTCATGAACTATACACACACACACACTTCCAGCTCTCTCCCTGTTTTTCTTTCCCTTTATAAAAGAGGACATTTTATTCCTTCTCCCAAATGATTCCCCACTCCATCACCAAAATAAGAGAACTTCAGGAGGACCTACTCTTTTCAATGTGAGGGGAGACTGTAAATACTTTAAATTTAATAGTTTTTCATTGTTTACAGTAAGCTGTCTTTATCCATCCATGCATGTATTCATTTCTCCATCATTCAACAGACATTTCCTCAGTGCCTTTATATGAACCAATTGCTGTAGCTACTGGGAAGAGTAAGAAGTAGTTCTGCTTTTCTGATTATATTTCTGCACTGCTATTGAGAGTTTAAATTTGTGTACCTCTCATTAGTTAGTGACAGAAACTCCCTTAAACAGACACCATTTACTGTGCCAGTTCTGTTCTGTCACAGTGTAAGCAGGAGACTGTACCCATTTGTTAATTTCCCATTGCCATCTGAAGCTACTCAAAGATGCACTTTACAACAGCAAGGTTTCTGTGCTCACTGGACTGTGAGCTCCTGCAAGGTAGTGACTTGATCTAATTCATATATGTATTTCTTCTTCCCTGCATTTGACCAGATATGAATAGAGCCTGGAATTTCTGTTTTTATTTTTAAAAATGAATTAACAGGTGAACAGGGGAAGGGTTCAGCTGAAAAGTGGAAAGGATTTCTCAAAAGGAAAAGAGGTAGTGGTGAGTGGAAGTAATGAAGCAACAGAATTTAGGACCAAGAAAACAAGGCTTCTGGTGAGCATGATGACACACAACTATAATCCTAGTGGCTCAGGAAGCTGAGGCAGAAGGATCCCAGGTTCAAAGCTAGCCTCAGCAACTTGTGAGGTTGTAAGCAACCTAGCGAGACCCTGTCTCAAATTTTTAAAAAAATAAATAAAAAGGTCTGGAGATATGGCTCGGTGGTTAAGCACCCTTGGGTTCAATTTCTGCTACCAAAAAAAAGAAGGGAAAAGAAAACAAGGCTTCTCAGAACACTTGCACATAGCTTGATAGTAGGAATAAATATTTGACTACAGATTTTCTAGAGTGCACTTTGGCAATAAGTATCAATATAAAAAATGGGACAGGCAATTTCACTCCATGGAAATAATTGGGCATGTGGACAAAGATGGTATAGGAAAGATTTTTTCTTTGCCTTCTTAGGTTCTGCTACTGGGGCCCTATAGATTAAACTGACCAAAAAAAAAAAAAGTAATAAGAGAAATGGGTTTATTTCATATGCACGTGGAAAGCCTTGTCGAAATGAAATGAAAACTCCATAGGAATGGTAAGACTTGAGATCTTATATATTATTTATAACAAGGAATGATAATTAGTGGAGACTTAACAAAACTAAAAGGGACTTGAGCTTTTAGGATCAGTTAATTGTGGGATACTAAATATATGTGGAACACTGATGGAAGATAAGGATTATTTTACTAAGGTTTGTTTGTACAGATTCATCTCTAAATCCACTGCCTGTCTCCAGTGCTAAGCATGTTCTCTTCCTGCTGTGGGAGGATACCTTTCTCATGGGAAATTTATATACCACTTTTAGGTTAAAAATGGGGAAGGCAGGAGGTCCTTCCAACATCTACTGTTTCCCAAATTCCTTCATCTCAAAATAAGTCTTATGCCAAAGTCACATGTTTTGAATAGTAAAATCTGATCCCCTTCAATGGACATGAAGAGATATCCACTTAAGAGTTTTCATGAATGTAAAGCAATCTAAATAGATACTGATAAGAGAATTTATGTAAAGAATTTATAGTATTTCTAAACAGACATTAAAAATAATAACCAGGGCTAGGGATGTGGCTCAAGCGGTAGGTAGCGAGCTCACCTGGCACGCGCGGGGCACTGGGTTTGATCCTCAGCATCACATAAAAATAAAATAAAGATGTTGTGTCCACCGAGAACTAAAAAATAAATAAATAAATAAATAAATAAATAATAATGACCAACCATGGTGGCACATATGTTGTAATCCTGTCCAGAGGCAAAGACAGGAGGATTGCAAGTTTGAGGCCAGCCTCAGGAACTAAGGGAGGCCCTAATCAACTTAGGGAGACCCTGTCTCAAATTTTTTTAATATTTATTTTTTAGCTTTAGGTGGATACAATATCTTTATTTTATTTTTATGTGGTGCTGAGGATCAAACCCAGTGCCTCACATATGCGAGGCGAGCACTCTACCACTTAAGCCACAACCCCAGCCCCCTTTTTTTTATTTTAAAAAGGGATGAGGATGTGGTTCAGTGATTAAGCAACCCTGGGTTCAATTTCTATTACCAAAAAATTAATTAATTAATTAATTAAATTTAAAAGTAAAAAAGGACTAGGAATGGGTTTAGTGGTAAAATGCCCCTGGGTTAAATCCCCAGTTCCTCCAGCTAATAATAATAATAATAACAACAACAACAACAACATACATGTGTTTGGGGTTTTGTTTTTCTGTATTAGGGGTTGAGTACCCAGGGCCTTAGACATGTTAGGTAACTGCTCTACTGAGCTGCATCCCCAGACTTTTTCTTTTTGTTTGTTTCGAGACAGGATCTCTGGTCTCTGCAAGTGCCAAGGCTAACCTCAAATTTGTAATCCTACTGCCCTCAGTCTCCTGAGTAGCTGGAACTACAAACGTGGTGGTACTTTTTTG